AGTTCTCAGAAAAGAAATGCCTGGCCCCTACGTTTAGCAAAGAAAATGACTTGATGATTTCATTGGTTGTCTTTGTTTGTCAGCCAGGAAGAACCCCTCAAGATAACTTTATCCCAAACCTTCCAGCTGTGCTGGGTGACATGGGAACATGCCCAAGGTCACTGTCAGGTGCTCATCACCTGGTGGAAGATCCCGCCGTGGAGCCATCTGGCTGGCAGGTGGAGGGACCGTTCCCGGAGCGCAGTCTTCCACAGGGTGCTTTGAACAGCTCTGTCAGTACTTGTCATCATGTTGCTTTTGAATTATAAGGCTGGAAAATCAGGTTTTTCAAGTCTAAAAAAAAAAAGAAAGAAAGAAAAAAATCCCACAACCTATTCTTCATTTCCCAGCAGGGCCTCAGAGTCCTTGGAAATACATGCTTGATAATCAAACCCTGCTGATATGTCAACAAGAAAACTAATCATTTACAACAGGGACACAGGCTGCCCCAGAACCTCTTCCTGTGGAGGGGGCTGTTGAGATAACTGTCAGTGAAGTGCTTACCCCAGGACCGCAGTTTAAGCCCCAGGACCCAGGTGAAAAAGCTGGGTATGGTGGTATATGCTTTTAATCTCAGCCCTGGGGAGGTAGAGATAGCCGGATCCCAATGGCAAACCAGTTTAGCCTAAACAACACATGCCAGGTCCCAGTGAGAGACCCACTCTGTCTCCAAAGACAAGGTTCACTCATATCACCTGTGGAGGAAGAACCCTGAGACTGTCCTCTGGCCTCCACACATGCACTCCTCCTCAGTCAGGCACCACACCTCTGTCTTCCACACGGCAATGGGAAGATTACCTGATGGTAAAGAACTGGACCACTAGAAGAAGGGACCTGATATTGGGAATGGGACAGACAAGTGTTCATGTCCCCCAGCCAAAACTGCTGCAACTTCAACTTAAATTCCACCTCTCTCATTATTGGCTGTGGTGTTGGACACATTATCTAACCCCCAGAGACTTCAAGTCTCTGCTGCCCAGCAGGGTCACCCATCAAACACGGTCCCACTCTGATGGACAGTGTTAGATACTTTGAAGTTGGTGTTCTCAAATGCTGCTCCGTGCAAAGGGACAATCTGGTGAGTTCACTCTGCTCAGTTCATGAAGACATCTGCTGGTCTCAGGTGTGGTGATACACATGTGTAATCCTAGCAGTAGGCAAGTGAGTCAAGAGGATCAGAAGTTCACAGTGAGTTCATGGCCACCCTGGGCTATATGAGACCTTGTCTCAGCCAGTCAAACCAGGCAGCATCAAGGTTAGAGTGCCCTTTTTTCACCAAATGATGAAAAATGATCTTTGGGGGCTAAAGGTGTACGTTGGTGGTAATTTGTATGCTTAGTGAGGCCCTGGATTTGATCACCAGCTCCAAAAACAAACAAAAAACCAGAATTATATGTTTTTAAAGCCCTTCGCTGTCTAAGAAACTGGCCACCTAGTCCATTCCCTATACATGTGCAGCTGCACAGCCAGACGGAGTTGGATTCGGCAGTCCAGCAACAGAAAGGTGAGCTCTCTTTTGTCTGCAGGTCTTTTGTTCTGTAAGTGGTCTCAGTGAATTTAAGAAAGAGATTTAAAAGGGACACCAGCCTGCCGTCCAGGGAACAGCATGTAAAGGCAGCAGGTAAAGCCACGGAACACATGGCGACATATAGATTAACAAAAATGGGTTAATTTAAGATAGAAGAACTAGATAACAAGAAGCCTGCCACGGCCATACAGTTTGTAAGGGGAAAAAAAAAAAGAATGACAGATGAGCATGTCTGAAAACAGAAAGGTTAAGTCAGTGATCTTCAGTCTCACGTTTCCGGCTTGTTTCAAGGGGGACTGTTAGCAAATGATGGCATCCAGGCTTTGAAGCCTTTTTTGCCATCTGCCACGCTGGCTACCTTAGCTGTGTTCCCTTGAAAACCTGGGTATCTGATTCCATGGTTTGAATGCGGACAGAGATGCAAGCCCCGAACTGACGGGAGTGTCTGCCTTCTGTCTGGGAGGTCTTCGGTTTGAGTTCAAAAGATCTCCCACTGCCCCATATTTTAGGTGTTCAGCTCTTAGCTGGTGGCACTATTTGGGAGGTTCCAGAAACTTTAGGAGGTGAGGCCTAGATGGAAAAAGTAGGTC